GTGAGAAAAGGAGGGTAGTGCTTTCTGGACTATCAGCTCACAGGGGAGATCACCACACGCTGTGGCTAGGGAAGGTTTAGCTGAATTTTGATGACAGGCAACCTGGTGATCTAAGCATTTAATAAGAAAACATTTGGAAAAGAGAGCCTACTTATGGGACTAAATGGACCACATAATCATTAAACAGTGGGGCTGCCAATAGGTAGTTCCTACTGATGGGCTCCTCTAATCCAAACTGCCTCTTTAGCTTGCAAAAATAGCAGATTTTTCTTTCTGTGAAAATCATTAAATTAGAGTAATCAGTACTATGGCCTAAGCTCTAAAGTCTACTCTGATTAGTTTTTCACAGATCCAAGCCTATCCAGCAGCGAGATATGTGTTCCAACGAACAAAATGGTGCAAAAAGCCATCTTCAACATATTTGCTGTATTCCAGAAGCTTCTTTGTGGAATAGGTTGGGAGGGGGAAGGTGGTAGAGCGGTACTGTAATGCTTTTAGCATTTTGAACACCTGATTTTCCAAACAACAGACATAAAGCTACAGTAATCAAGATGGTGTGGTATTGGCAAAAGAACAGACATATAAACCAATGGAGCAGAATAGAGAACCCAGAAATAAGCTCCTATAAATATAATCAACTGATCTTTGATAAAGGATCAAAAGCAATGCAACGGAACAGAGATCATCTTTTCAATAAATGGTGCTGGAACAACGAAACATCCACATGCAAAAAGAAAAAAATGAAACTAGACACAGAGCTTACACTCTTCACAAAAATAATTAACTTAAAATGGATCATAGATCTAAATGTAAAGCACAAAACTATAAATTCCTAGAAGATAACATAGGAGAAAATCTAGATGACTTGGGTATGGCAATGCCTTTTTAGATACAACGCCAAAGACAAGATCCATGAAAAAAAATCATTGATAAGCTAGACCTCATTCAAATTAAAAACTTCTGCTCTGCAAAAGACAGTATCAAAAAGAACAAGAAAACAAGCCACAGACTGGGAGAAAATATTTGCAAAAGACATAGCTGATAAAGGATCGTTATTTAAAATATACAAAGAACTTCTAAAACTTAACAAATAAGGAAGTAAGCAACTTGATTTTTATTGTAAAATGGGCCAAAGATCTTAAACAGACACCTCATCAAAGAAGATATACCGATGGCAAATAAGCAGATAAAAAGATGCTCCGTATCATATGTCATCAGGAAAATTCAAGTTAAAATAAGATACAACTACACACCAATTAGAATGGCCACACTCCAGAACATTGAGAACACACCTGGCAAGGATATGGAGCAAAAAAACTCTCACTTGTTGCTGGTGGGAATACAAAATGGTACAGCCATTTTGGAAGAGAGTTTGGTGGTTTCTTACAAAACTAAACATACTCTGGGAGAAGTGGATGAAAATGGTTAAAAGGTACAAACTTCCAGTTATGAAATAAGTAACTCCTGGGAATGTAATAATGTACAGCATGGTGACTACAGTTAACAATACTGTATTGTGTATTTGAATGTTGCTAAGAGAGTAAATCTTAGATGTGTAACTATGTGTCGTGATGGACGTTAACTAGACTTATTGTGGTGATCATTTTGCAGCATATGCATACCTCAAATCATTATGTAGTTCACCTGAAACTAGTGCAATGCTATATGTCAATTATATCACAATGAAAACAAACAAACAAGCCTATTCTTACCATACAATCCAGCAATTACACTCCTTGGTATTTATCCAAATGAGATGAAAAGTTGTGTTCACACAAAACTCTGCACATGGATGTTTATTGCAGCTTTAGTTATAATTGCCAAAATTTGGAAGCAACCAACATGTCCTTCAGTGGGTGAAAGGATAAGGAATAAACTGGTACATCCAGACAATGGAATATTATCCTGTCCTAAGAAATGAGCTATCAAACCATGAGAAAACATGGAGGAAACTGAAGGACTATTGCTGAGGAAGGAAGCCAATCTGAAAAGGTTGCATGCTGCATGATTTTAATTATATGACATTCTGGAAAAGGCAAATCTATGGAGACAATAAAAAAGATCAGTCGTTTGTGGAGGTGGGGGTAGATGAACAGGCAGAGCACAGAGGGTTTTTAAGGCAGTGAAAATACTCTATATAATATGACAGATATATATCATTATACATTTGTCCAAATCCGTAGGATGTACAACACCAAGAATGAACCCTAAGGTAAACTATGAATTTTGGGGTAATTATGATGTGTCCATGTAGGTTTATCTTACGTAAAAAATATACCACTCTGATAAGTGACATTCAGAATGGGAGAGGCTATGCATGTGTGGGGGCAGGGAATATACGTGAAATCTCTGCACCTTCCTCTCAATGTTGTTGTAAATCTACAACTGCTCTAAAAATAATCTTAAAATGGTATAACAAAAAAAAAATACAAAATCTGTGTGATTGTTTTGTTTGGGGTGTATATGATTTATTTTTATGTTGTTTATATTCTTTCAACATTAAGTTGTCCCACATTCTTGAAAGCAGGCATGGTGAGGCATACAGTATGTTAAAATATTGAAAATCTTTTATACCAGTTGGTAAACAGCTGTTGCCCAAGCGCTCTGAGTTCCAACCACGAGGCCACTAGCTCTTCCCATAAGACCCCCTCCCCCACTTTCCCACAGCCTTTAACAACACAAGGGTGATGCCTGGTACCTCAGGGGATTCCAGACCTGATTGCCCACTCCCAAACCCCAGTCCAGGATTGCAATCCATTCTGACTGATCCCATGCCCTGTTGGTTATACCCTTAAAATAGGTCATAGGTAATAAAGACATAAATTTAAAATAAAACCAAAAACATCAAGTATATTCCTTCTTTGGACGTGAGCTGGGTTATAGGACTTCAACAATTCTGGGTTAATGTGTCTTAGTTGCTCCGAGTAGGTAATGGCAATTGTGAAAGAAAAGGGGGAGCTTGTGCGAGCTTTTAGACAGCCTCTCAAAGATGGAGCAGAAGTCCTGAAGCTTGGGACAGAGAGGCTGCCAATGAACACCCATCAAAGCCAAAGGAAATCTTCCTTACGTACCCTCACTGCTCTCCCTGTGACCAGCCCCATCAATTCCTTCCCGAGGAAGCTGAGACAAAGTGAGCAATTTAAAAAGCTGCCTATATAGTTTTAAATTTCGATACCCTCAAATTAATTATGAAAGGCTTTGCAACAAAAGGAAGGAGAATAGAAAAATATATATTCTCTCCTTTCCTGGAGCAAACCCATCAATTATGTATGGGGCAGAGGGAAATGCTATAAACCTTCACTGCTCTCTTTCCATTCCTAGAGCTGTTAGGTGGGATGGTGCGGGGGGCAGGGGAGGTGTCAATTTTAAAATTAATATGTGACAAGTTAAAGAAAACGGTGGTTCTAAAACTTTGTGCTAAGGGAGGAAATCCAGGGTAGATGGATCTCTTTTGTTCAGCAAAACTCTGAAATAGGGCTTCAGGTTTACAAAGGGAAGATACCATACCCACTTCAACCCCAAACCCCAATACACAGAGAGAGGGTCAGGGGGAAAGAGATGGGATCTCAGAGCTCACCCATCATAACAAGATGGAAGGCAGAGTGCCTGGCACACATACTGATAAGGTGATGCATTTGGTAGTGGCAAGATAAAAAAGGGATCTCTTCTATTTCTCCGGTGAAATAAGAAGCCAGGTCTCAGCTGAGAACGAAGGGAGGGAAGGTGGCTTGAGGAGGGTTGAGAAGAGAAATAGCTATCTTGCCAAGTAGGAGCGTCAACACACTAGAGAAATACGGTACGATTTCCAGGCAGAGCTGACGGCTTATATAAGGTTTGTGTTCATGAATTGAAAGTGGGACCTAGCAGCATGATTGTGAGTTTTTCTTCTCTTTTTTCCAGCAATAGTCAGCTGCTATGGGAAGGCCACTAGAGCCTGGGGTGGGTTTTGCGAGCATGTGCTACAGGAGAAAAGGGCAAGGGAGTTGAATGTAAACAAAGCATCAATGTCATGACGTATCAAGGAATTTTAGTGGGTAAGGAAAGATATTTTTAGGCATTTCGTAAACCAAACATCAAGGGTTCAAATTCAGTGCTATTGGCCTGGAAGTTCATGCTTATTCCTTCGTGGCCATGCTTCTCAATACAAAGAGAACACAAAGAATTATCTAGGGACTTGGTCATAAATGCAGATTTTTGGACCATCCTCAGAAATTAGCTTTTTTTTTTTTCTTTGTAAAAAAAAGTACCAGGGCTGGCCGAGTGGCCCAATGGTTAAGAGCTGGCTTGGGACGCCAGAGGGCCCCTGTTCGATCACACATATGAAGGCCAGTGACACTGCCCTCTGCAGCTAAGATGGTGAACAACAGCTCGACCTGGTGACAGCGTAGGCTGCAGCCCCTGTGGCAGTGGGTTGCCATGGCTACCGTGTGTAGCCAGCAGCCAGCGTGAGCTGCGGTCCAGAAGCCGGCGACTGATCTGCCTTGCCTAGGAAGAGCGCAATGATGGTGCCAACTTGGGCCAGTGAAGCAACGTCCTAAACAACTAGACTGAAGAACAAAAGGACAGCAACTTGTCTGTTCCCCTTCCCCCAATTCCCCAGCACTGTTCCCATCCCCCCAATTCCCCAATAAAANAGCACTGTTCCCATCCCCCCAATTCCCCAATAAAAATCTTAAAAAAAAAAAAGTACCAGGTGTTACTGACGGGGGGCGGGGGGGGGTTGTCTGTGGACTATTCTATGAAAAATACTGCATAGCAGTCGTTTTAGGTGAAAGCATTTGAGAGTAGAATTAGGCAGGGGAGAGCTGAGTTACCCAGACAGTTGTTTTACACTTTCCATTTCACAGCCATGAAATGATGATGTTTCAAATATTTGGGCATTTGAAACATCCTATATAATATATATATATATATATATATATATATATATATATATATATACATACATACATACATACATCCTATATAAAGAGTAAGCCACCATGAGGGGTCACACTGCATTGGCAGAGGCAATAAATTCAATCACTTTATTTTTCCACTTCCATTAGGTTCTTTGGACAAACACGGATCCAAGTATGACATTTACTTTTGAATCTGAACATCAGTCTCGCATGGCTTTACATCGGATGCATCAGTTTTCCAGAAAGCCAAAGAACTGTGTTCTGTTTGGGGAGAAAAAGGTAAACATTCTAAGAGAAACAATCATTTCTTAAATTTGTGAACTAGCTAAGATGAATAAAATACATTTTACAAATGTGTAGAATACATGTAATTATATGAATGAAACCATTTAGTGTGAGGTTTATGTGACACAAGAAAGCATCAGGGACATGATTAGGCACTTATTTCCAAGGGAGAAAATAGAAGGTTCTCTGTAGCTCTGACAATCAAGATTTATAGAAATAAATCACTGTATAGCACTTTTACTCCCCAGTGCACCAACCACACAGCATCTGTCTGAAGCCTGCAAGGGAGACTAGCCTGAAGAATTATGTCAACAAAGCTCCATTTGGCTTTCTTTTAATTATCCTCTTCTAATACTTTTTCTACTGATTTGTACGAGGCTTATGGTGCTTTGTCAGTTTTGGTATTTCACATGTCACCAGGACTGTGCTGGTGAGATAACAATAATTTATGCAGTGCATTATTGGGCTGTCGGAAAAGTCATGATGCATTTTTGCAAAAAAAAAAAACATAGAAAAATACGTCATGATTTTTCCGACAACCCAATATAATGATAGTAACTGTCATTGGTTGAGCACTTACTCCATGTCACACATAATATTTCTAATAATCGAACCTATGAGGTGGCCATTATTTACAAGTGATCATTCCCTCTCTCTCGCTGGCTGGCCACTTCTCAGACTCCTCTCTTCTTTTCTACATCTGCTTCCAACTCTGTCCTCGTCAGTGAGGCTGTCAACATTCTTGGAGCTTTTCTGAACCTGGAGCCAACCACAGTTTCAGCCTCTGCTGGTTCTTCCTTCATATCAACAAAGATATTTACACCCTAAACATGAAACCTTAACAGGTTGGCAGCTGTAAATGCTGGCCATTTACAGAGATAAACTTCTTTGTCTCACACAAACATGATTATCTTCCTTAAAATATTTTGCTCTAATGACTATTTTGCTCTAGATGGTACTTTTCAAATTCCGAGAATTGCTTAAAGGAAGGAAGGGGAAAAAAAGTTAGGAGATCTGTAAAGCAATTATCATTGCCATGAGTTACTTTGTAATTTGGGGTAAGTTCTTTATAATTTGGGACCAAGTGGTGGTAAATATGATTAATATTCAACATTCCATTTATTATTATTATTATTATTATTATTAAAACTTAATTTAGAATTATACAAGATGGCATACTTCACTTCCATGTTCATCAACAAAGCTACAACCCTGAGTTTTGAGGGAAAAAAAAGAAAAACAAAATGTTTATGCAAGTGGAGAAACTGCAGCTTACTGTTTCATCTCACTATTCCTCCTGCTCCCTCTTTTTAAAAGTCCAGTGGCCAAATTGGCATGGCTTCTCATAGTAATCACGTAAGAAAAGTACTGATTATGGTGAAAGGCGAATGGAAGTCCTAGCTAAAAGTTCCAGTGTTAGACTTACCCTTGAAGCATTTGGGGACTTCAAAGGTGCCATCTAGGCACTGAGCATCCTCTGTATAGCTACACTTCTTTTCCTTATTTTTGCAGAAGAAAGAAACTTTTTGACCATGCAGCATTCCATTCTTAAATTTTTCTTGGAGTTTTACTCTCTCTCCTTCATATATCACAGTAGCTTTTTTAACAGAAATTTTACAAGATGCTGAAAGAGACAATATTTATAGTCAAGACTTCTGGGAACCGCTAGTTTTTCTTAAAGAGAATATAGCATTTGAAGCAGTAGATGAGTACACTTGAGACAAATTACTCAAGACCCAAAGATTCCAAGACTGTATAGAGTGAGTGAGTAACATCAGTATCATTGCTAACAGCAGTTCTTTATCAAAACAACTATTAGTCATGGATTCCAAGATGGACTTTTCTTCCTCTACAGTAGCCATACAAGAAGGTCAGAGCAGAAGCATCAGGTTCTAGGCTTCGGCAAAAAAGAACTTCTCCCAAAGACTGCCTTTTCATGTAAGCCTCATTTCCTTGAACTAACTTAAATATGTGGTTGGTTTTTGCAATAGAGAGGAGTCTTGACTAGAACAAAGCAGAAACAGACTGTCATAGGCAAAGACTTAAAAGCAATTATAGGAAGCCCACACACTCTCCCACCATAGTATCAATGCTTACAAAGGATCTGTTTCTTTCATACAGTTTAATTTCAAACAAGCTTGCTAAGCATGAAGCTTCCCCATGCACATGTGAGTCCTAAAGTCTTTCACATGCCAATAGCTGTGAAGCAAGACTGACCAAGTGGAAAATGATTGGAACAAGAAGGTGGCAATTCAAGGTGACCCACTGGATAAATTCAGAGACATTTTAAGACCTCACCCATAGTTCATACCTTTACAACTTGGCTGTGCAGACCAGTCTCCAAATTTATTACACTCTACTTCTTCCGGGCCATCCAAGACAAACGTATCATGGCAACCATATGTGGCTTTATCCTTGTAATAAAGTGCTTCTTTAGCAAGATAGTTCACAAATCCATTGTCTGGTCTTGATGGGAACGGGCATTTTACTTCTAAAAAAGTTTATTCAATAAGACATAGTATAAATAGTGATGTTGTTCAGTAGTTATGGAATAGTTACATTCTAGGCTCCCTTACACCATTGAATCCCTCTGTGTTCCTGCAATTGGAATGCAATTTTTAGGTACCTTTTTCGGTGCTTAATTCTGTCACCCTTATCTTACACTCATGGGCTCTGGATATTAAAAAAAAACAATACAACTTTGAAAGTAAATTAGCAAGTTCACAAGTTCTTTGGGTTTTCACATAATCCTAAGGTAATACTGATTGCAAATTTCATCTCCATGCAATCTAAGATGGTAGGTTTGAAAGAAGAAAACAGTCTGTTTCTTTTAATCAACAAGCCATGTAATTAAAACACAAAGACTTCCTCCATGCATATTAGCATACCATTACTTGGCTGTTTAATGTTAAGTCTAATTCTTATGATTGTCTTCAGATCATACAAGAAGCCACCATGAAATGTGAAGGAGAAAAATGGTGCTGCTTCCTGGCCTTCTTACAGTCCTCAACAGTAGAGTCCCAAACCCATATCCCTATTCACTCCAGTACAAGAAAGCAAAGCTGGAGCCAGGAGCACAGAGCTCTTGAGAGGTAGTTTAATGAGGTAGTTTAAGAGGACAAATGTCAATTATGCTAAGTGAAATAAGTCAGACAAATACTATATGATTGCACTTATATGTGGGATCTAAAAAACGAAATAAATGAAAAAAATAAATAAACTCATAGATACAAAAAACAAATTGATAGTTTCTAGATGGGAGGGGGTTGGAGGCACATATAAAGGATACTCCTGGGTTAATTAGAACAATATGCATATGAACTAAATGTTTTTCATTGTTTATGTTATTATAATTGTTGAAATTATTATTGTTAATAATTCAAAATGTGTTAAATGTCTTCGGTACAGTGATAATATAGGAGAATGTCCTTTGTTCATAGGACATTCATGCTGAAGTCTTATGGGTAAGTGTCAAGATGTGTACAACTTATTTTCAGATGGTTCAGGGGAAAAGTATCTGGAGAGAGGGGGTGGGGAGAGTGAGAATGTCACAACATGCTGACAGTTGATACATCTAGATGAAGGGCTGAAAAGAAGTACCTACTGTTTAGGACTTGGGAGAATTAGAGATGACACATACGTAGCAGGGGACTAGTGCTTGGCCCAGAGTCAAGTCCCCCAAAAGGTGCTAGGTATTATTACTGATAGTTTCCCCATGCAAAAAAAACAAACAAAAAACATTTGTTTTGAATCATTCAATAGGTATATATAAGTTGGGAATTTTCAATAGTTTTCAAAAATGAGAATTGCACTCTCATAATTATTTTTTCTTATCATTACACTTACCCTTGCATTCAGGTAATTCAGTCCAATTTCCATGTGCTGCACAGGTAATGGTATCATTTCCAAACATGGCATAGTGTGGCAAGCACTTAAAGACAGCCGTGTCTCCATAGAGGGAGCTGTTCCCAGCACGTGGCTTATAAGCACTGAGTTCTGCAAACTTAGGAGTGGGTGGTAGAGGGCAGGATACAGCTGGAAAAAGAAAGAACTATCACTGTTACGAAAACAGTTGAGTCTTTTAAATATACTCTTTCCAGAAAGGAAAAAAAAAAAACCACGTGAAAATTAACTTGAGAAAATGCAAAATGTGATTGAAGGCCTGGGTTAAAAATAGTCAATTGTGGAAGCCAAATAAGAAAATATGATTTAAAAATCAAATGTCTGACCCAGTGAAAAACCTAAAAAATGAAGTAAATTTTGAAAAAACTAAAACATGAAGTAAAAAAAATGAAGTCTTACCACTGCTAATTTGCCTTTTACAATAAATAACACAATGATTAGATTTCCATAAATTTTTTTATCCAAATGCTACCTTGGAAGATGTTTCTGGAAGTAGGAATTGGTAGAGGACAATGCTGAGGGAATCAACCAGCAATAATCGCTGATGATAGCAAATTGGTGTAAAGTCATTTGTAACATCTGAGTTCCACGGCTAGTTCAAGTTTGTTTGTTCCTATTAAACACCTCTTATGTTTGCACTCTGTACAAATAAAGCTTATACAAGGAGCTTTACACAGAGAAATGGTTTAGGTTGTCTTCCTCATATGACTAATACAGAGTTTCAACAAGTCCAGGAAAAGTTACACTAACATAATGGAAGTTAGTGCAGACCAAAATGTGATTTAACTTAAATTATCTAGAGCCTTGCTACTCAAAGTGTGATCCATGGAACAGCAATGAGAGCGTTGCCTTGGAGCCTGTTCGAAATGCAGAAGCTCAGCCCCCACCCCAGATCCACAAATCAGAATCCACGTTTTAATAAGCTGTCCAGGTGATCCATATGTACATTAAAATATGGGAAGCACTCATTTAGATTAGATTGAAGCTAAACTCGTCTATTTGTAACTAAAAAGAAAAAATGACCATGAAATAGATACAAATCTGCTTAAAATGGGAAACTATTTATAGGAATCATGGTGATTCCTACTGCTGAGTAAAAAACTCAACTTATCCCTAAACAATTTTTTTGTAGTTCAGTTTTCCTTAAACTATTGTTTATTTGAAACTGCTTTACTTTTCCACTTGCTTTTGCTAGGACAGATCTCACTGAAATGCTACAAATCCGTAAGTGTTATTGTGATGCCTGGGCTTCCTGATCAAAGGTTAGACTTATATAAATCACAAGCTAGGGAATGTAAAAATGTCCCTCCCTATATCAGCGAAGCCCAGAGCTTACCCTGACTGCTTAGCTGAGCGTTTCTCAATAAGTCATCAGTGCCTTTGGAGGAAACTCAATCAGCTTTTAGGATGCAGAGCCCTTCTATGGACTCTAAGCTTACCATGAAGGTGACACTTGCCTTGTCTCCTTCATCATTAGGCTTACTTGCTGAGAGCAGAGCTCAGCCTCCCTTAGCTTTGTAGTCTCAGGGCTGAGAACAGGAAGTGGCACATATTAGGCCCTCAGTACCTGTTTACTGAATACATGAATGAGTGAATAAACAAATGAGGTTCCACAGTGGGAAGAAGGTCCCACTGTTTCCAGAAGTTCTTCTAGTCAAATGGCGGCAGTCCCGGGTAGATCAATGCTACACATATCCAAGCCCCTGCCAAAACACTGCAAGAGTGTTGGAATTCATAAACCCAGAAATCACCGGCTCCATCAGGGGGAGGATACAAAATGCGTTCATGAGTACAATGCTTCCTTTCTGTCATTCCAAAGTGGTTGTTTCATCCTCCAGAGTAAAATGTTATCAGGATGAACAGTCTCCATAAAGGGGACCAACCATCTCACGGAGCTGAGACTGAAGGGTTTCTGGGGTATGGAAGTGGTATTAAAACCAGGCAAGTCCCAGGCTAACCAACTGGTCACCTTCCCCATCACTCGGACCCACAGACTCACGAGCACAGACAGGAAGGTCCGGGTTCCATTTTCCATTCTCTGTGCATTTAGCAGAATTAGTTCCATTCAGATAGAACCTGCAAAAGGAGAATTTAATCCATCAAGCAGGAAAATAATCCATCGAGAGCATCTCAAATGTCTTCTCTCTTGTACATTGCTTTAGACTAATACTATTGACTTCTTTCCTGTTTTATAATGTTGTTTTCCTGACAGCCCAACGCTCATTTCAGGCTCATCAAGTCTCCCAGCCTAATGCTGCAGGTGAATCCCTAAAGAATGAGAGGGCTTCGTAGGGCTTCGTGGGTGTAGAAGCCAAACCCCCAAATCCCTCATCTCTAATCATGTGGCTCAATTACTGCTTGTTATGTAAAGCAAAGAATCATTTCTTTTTCAGGATCACAAAAGTGAATCGAATTGAGTAATCTCTGCTATCCATTTTCTGAGAGCCTACTTTAACATGAATATGTAAAAATAATGCAGTTTATCATTGAGGGGATCACTTTGTAAGTTATATAAATATCTAATCACTATGCTGTATGCCTGAAACTAATACTGTACATCAACTGTAATTAAAAATATAGACAAATTTTAAAAACAGAAAACAATGCAGTCTATTTCCATGGAAAATGTAATATTCTGTTCTTGAAGCCATTTTTTTCCTATATCGTTTGTCATCAGACCCACCAGTAAATAAGTGTTTCAGATGAAGGAACTGCTTTTCTTTTCCACACATAGTATGTCTTAATCTCCAATCTCAAACAAAGATCCACAGTAAAATTTTGCCCTAATGGACAGCCAAAATGCTATTGCCAATGTCACCGGTGGCATCTTTGCTCATAAGGCAGATGAGCTATATTACCAGCCATAAGTGCTTTCTCCCTGGGCATGTTGTACTGTAATAGGTGAGGATTACATCATCACACTCCCAACCTTCTCCATAGAATTCTCTTCTGGAGACTACCAAGTCAATCCATCAAATTATCCTCATAACTAAAGTCCAAATCCAAGTTCTAAAATATTTTAACCTTCATACCAAGATTTGGCCCAGAGATTAGAAGGAATTATCATCCTGTTGCAATAATTTCAATGTCCCTCCACAGATAAGCCACTAATCAGGAGCAGAAAAATTAGATATATTTCACTAGTTGTATTCTCCACCCCTTAGCCCAGCTTAACGCCATTGTGGATTTGTAATCAGTGATTTGCATTCAGCAAGTCCAGCCTAAAGGCGAGAAATAAAATATGGACCAATCTTGATGTTTAGCTTTAGGGCACAGAAATGTGCTGCATCCATTCAGTCACCTGGAAGTCCTTACCCAGTGTTACACGAAAAACTTATCATGTTGGGATATTCGAAAGTGGTATAGCGTACAGCTCCATTTTCTAAGATTCCAGCAAAAGGGCATACTCTGGCTGTGATTTAAATACAGAAAGGTAAATATCTATTTATAGAACTTCCTATTAAAATAAAAGTATATAAACTCATTTCCATCCCTTTAATCCGATAACTCTACTGGTAACTATTCTGAGCAAGTTAACTAACTAAGTCAAATGATGTATGCACTACAGACTTCATGACACTGTTACCTCTAATAACAAGAACTCGACAGTCTAAATGTTCGCTATCAGGATGTTATTTTAATGAATGATGGCAAATCAATAGCTGAGCTATAATGCAGCCAATAAAATATTGATTATGAAGACTATAGAGACATAGTCAATATTTCTGATATGCTGAAGAAAACAGAAATATACAATATGGTATCTGCTCTCTGCAATAACACAAAAATGTATGCATATGGAAAATAACTTGAAACATAAAATTGTTAGTGTTCCAGAGTTGTGGCTGATTTAAAGAAAAATTTCCCTAATGATGCTAGAGTGGTTTTTCATTAAAAATTATGGTTGGACTTTTTAAATAAAAAAATATATTAAAATCACTTGTATGAACATGTATAATTTTCACAAAAGTCATGCCCACATGATGAAAACAACCAGAGCCCAAATAAGTCCATATAGTTATTTATAGTGCTTAACTTCTACATAAAGTTGCTAGAAATTCTATCTGGTTGATTACTCAACATTGTAAAAAATAATGCCAGCATGATATCATAGAACCATGCTTTGAGGAATGAATAAAAATAATCATCTACCATAAATCAATAATGACATATATGTATATAATTTATATTATACTATTAATATATCTATAATTTCTTAGAAATATAACATGTAATATAGATACACAATTTAGGTGAAATTTATTGTCATGATAATCGGTAATGATTAAATCTGCCTCATTTTGAGGCAAAGCCCAAAGATATGATGATTCCTCGTGTTTTATTTGTTCAAGTGTCTCTTTGACATCTGTTTAGATTTCAGAGTATCTGCACTTCTCTTTTCTCTTCTAAGTGTTTCCATCTTCTTTTGTTATACCAGGTCTCTTTTTACTTCTCTTCTAGCTCCAGGCTAAGCTCATCTCTTTTTCTCTAAATAGCATCCACGCCCTTAGTCTTTTCTTTCATGGAGCCCCCAGACCCTCTAATTTCTTCACAGCTCCCCACTCTGCAGCTCTGCTGGCCTTCTGCCCCCCAGAGCATGTCCAGAATCCACAAGAGGGGAGAGAATGTGCGAGAACCCACTGACTTACGTGTACATCTGAGCGTGTTGACAGGCCAAAGTCCTGAGAGGGGGCAGGTAAACCGTCTCATCCCTCCCTGGGACACATAGCCCGGAAGGCAGGAGTACACTATCTGATCCCCTGGTTCATAGTATGCTTTTAAGGGAACAACTGTGGCAAACGGTAAATCATTTGGCTTGGGACAGGCTGAAATAGAGCACAAAGCAGTTGGTTAATAAATCTATATTTTCATTTTTAAGTTCAGTTAGCATGGAAATGAAAACTATTCAGTGCTGCCAAAAATAACTCTACCAAGTCCTCTACCAAATAGTTCAGATGTACCATATCCCACCTAATCTCCTTAACAACCCATTGAAGGGTACTGTTTTTATCTCCATTTTACAGGTCAGCACTCTGAGGCTTACATTGGCTAACTATCTTATGGAGGGGCTTTAAGCACAGCACTATTAAAGAATAGGTATCAATCCAGCCTCTCCAGCATGCACCCTAAAGAGAAGTTATCATTAGTGGTCCTTGGCATATAGCAGGGGGTTGGATATATCAATTATTTTTGCAGAAGTGAAGAATACTCACTCCGTCCAGCAATAGCCACATGGCAGAGAAAACTCAAGACGAAGATGAGCACTGGAGAAATCATTGTGGCTAGTTCTCGCTGGCACCGCCAAAGTGGCTTTCCTCTTCCAAAAAGGGAGATGCAACTATACAAGTGCTTAAACATTAACCATTCTGTGTGTACTTTTATCTCTGTAAATAGAAGATAAAGTATCATGATTTGAAAAGAACACTGAGGCCTACATTCTTCGATCATTTACTTTCACTGCTGCGAATCTGTTGTGAAATCTTTGGGAGATGGTTTCTGTCTTCATACCATTTATGTTAAAGGCACAAAACAGTTCATTATTGGCTCTGATGGAATCCTGATGATGCCCAGATGGCCGGGGCTCCAGTCCAGACCTCTCCTTCTCCAGCCTTTGTTTTGTGTACCTAGTGGTTGGGTCACCAAAAGTCTGAAGTGCCTGCCTGTTTCACCCACCGTCTTGGCATATAAACTTAGGACCATCTCTTAGCTTCTGGGTTTCAGTCTCCGCAACTCTAAAATGATATCCCAGCTCCCAGTTGTATGACCCTCAAGAACATCTTCACGGAGCCACCTAAAACTAAAATGCCTTAAGGCTGAGCTCATCACCTCCTCTCCCACAGTGATTATTTCTTCCGACTCCTCTTTTACCTGCAGTTAGTAACAAGATCCTCCTGGTAGCTCCAGTTACGACCTTAGAGCTATCCTTGAATCCTCAATCTGCTCATATCAAATCAACACAAAGTCCTGCTCATCCATTCTTAATACTTCTCAGATCTGTCTAGACAGATTTCTAGATCTGTTTTAGGAACTGGGACGTTGATTGGGGCTCAAAGAATAAAAGGAGTTGAGCAGGAAGAGAGAAAGGCCAATCTGATGACCTTGCTAGAGAAGGTTCAGAGGGGACCATTCATGATTTCATAGTTCTTTTATACTTCATCTGCTCTAAGGAACTGAATATACAACGGGACAATGGCCAGAGAATATATAAAAATAGAACTCTGCTCCATAATCTCTGTAGCAACCAGCCCCAGAAGCCAAATCACAATCTCTGTAGCAATCGGCCCAATTTAGTACCAACCAGAAAAAGCCAAATATGTTCTTCTAACCAATCATATAGGGTGCCAGCCTTCTAGTTAGTCCGCCTCCCTCTTCCCAATACCAACAAGCTCCAACCAGGGCATGCTTGAAACTTTCCCCTTTTGTCCACTGTTTCCACTCCTCTGATTGACTTTGACTCTCTACCAAACACACATGATGATGGCTGACTCCCTTACTATAGAAATCTCTAAATAAATAGCCTTTGCTTGTTCTCATTGGGGTGGTCTTGGTTTATATCCACAGGTCTAAAGTTCCCTGAGACAACATCAGTTTAGGAAATGTTATTGTCAGGCAGTGATTCTTAAACTATGCTTCTAATGAACATTGTGTTGCCTGATAAGAAGAAAATGTACTGCCGTTAATATAAAATAATGGTGCTCCTTTCCGTTTTGTGATTAAATCATCATCTACACACACACACACACACACACACACACACACACACACACACGTTTGCCTGATTACTCTTAGGCTTGGCTTTACTGTGAAGAGAGATACTAGTGAAGAGAGGCCGAGTTGTCCTATATAATAAAACTCTGTGGTAGATGGAGAAAAGAGAGTGAGAAACCAAGCAGGCTGGGCATCAGGAAAAGAAACTTTGAGAAGTTTGAGATTGAGAAGAGAACGCTTTGACAGCAGCTGTAAACTGAGTGATAGACATTGACAGGCACAGCGAAGGGGAGAGGAGCTTCTAATAATGCTTGCTGATGGATGTGCTCCCTCCCATGAAGCAACTTTTTGGAAGGGTGGAAATAGTCTATATTTCATTTTAGGTGGCTGTTACTTGGGTACATGCAATTGTCAAAACTTATTCAACTAAACATATAAGATCTGTGCATTTTATTATATGTTAATTATACCTCAATTTAAAATCAGTTTCTTCCTTCCTTCCTTCTTTCCTCCTTCCTTCCTAATTCTGTCCAAAGGTCATGGGGTGGACCTGTGTGGGGCAGTCATGGAGACCCTTATGAGAATAGCAGCCCAATGTTGTCACAGGGTTAGACTACATACAAGGGATTCTGCAAAAAAAGAAAATATGTTTGTGATAATGAAAGTCAGGATTCTTATGGATGAAGAGAAGTAGCAATATGGGAAGAAGAGAAGCTAGAATGAACATTGTGATGTTGATTAGAACTGGAGGTATCAGTATAAATATTTTCCATATAGAGACAGGTACAGAAGTAATTATAGATACAAAGGTGTGCATATGTATGTACATGTGCCTGTATATACATATAATTCCTCGCTCTTTCCACTAAGATAGCCTGGGAATGGCAGTACACCCAGTAGATCTTAGTTTCTAAGTACAACTCTCCACTGAAAGGCACCATGGCTCCTTGGAAAATTGGCTGATTCCAGGACTGGGGCAGGGAAGTGCAAGATAAGTCTGGAACAACATGTTGTGAAGGACAACTCAGAGAATACTCAGAAAAAGAACCAGAAGTCCTTTGAAGGGGCTCTCACCAGTCAAATATGGGACAATTTGAGTGTCAAGGTAAGTAATGACAGTAACAAGTTATAATCCATTGACTAAAATAGGAATCAGCAAGTTCACATTGAGAGCAACAAACATATTAATAATTATATCACTAATCATCAGAGAAATGCAAATAAAAACCACAATAAAAGAATGGCTATCATCAACAAGACAAGTAATAACCAGTGTTGGAGAGGCTGTGGAGAAAAAGGAACCCTCATGTACTGTTCGTGGGAATGTAGTTTGATGCAGCCACTATGGAAGGCATTGTGGAGGTTCCTCAAAAAATTAAGAATAGAATTACCATATGAACCAGCAATCCCTCTCTTGGGTATACACCCCCAAAAATGTGGAAAAAAATCTGAAAACATTTATCCATAAAGATATATTAGTTTGGTGCAAAGGTAATTGAGTTTTTTGCCATTACTGATAATGGCAAACCCCGCAATTACCTTTGCACCAACCTAATACGAACTCCAATGTTCATTGCAGCTTTATTTATGGTAGCCAAGACATGATGGAAAAAAACAAAATGTCTTTCAATAGACGATTGGATAAAGAAGATGTGGTATATATGCATATACACAACGGAATACTATTCTGTCATAAGAGGAAGTACTGCCATTTGTGACAACAGGGATGGATCTTGAGATTATTATGCTAAGCGAAATAAGTCAGAAAAAGTCAAGAACTATATGACTTCACTGAATGTGGGATATAAAACTGAAAGCAGCAAAGGACTAAGACAAACAAATAAAGAAGCAATAACTCATAGACGTAGACAATAGTTTAGTGGTTACCATAGGGTAAGGGGGAATGGTAGTGGTAGAAGAGGTTAAATGGGGTCAAATAGATTATGATGGAAGGAGAACTGACTCTGGGTGGTGATCACACAATGTGATATATATAGATGATGTATTACAGAATTGTATACTTGAAACATATGTAATTTTACTAACCATCGTCACCCCAATAAATTTAATTAAAAAGTAAATAAAATAACATTAAAAAATATATATAGGAAGACAAGAAAGTTATTCCTTTAAGTAGAATGCAGATTAATCAATATAGGAGGAATACTGGAATCAGGAAATTGCAATTTGGAAATCATCATAGAAACATTGAATACTGGCGAGAAATACTGGAATGGGTGCTAAAACTAGGAGGCATGAGTGGGATGAGAAATGAGAAGCTCATATAGCTTTTAAAGTGTCTCCACATAAAATAATTATTCATTACAAAGGGGGAAAATGGGAATTTACAACAGAAGAACTTGGCAGACACCATCTTAATCAAATAATCAAAATTAAGACCACTGTTAATGGGATAAATTGACATGTGTGCCCACAACAGGATGCAATGAAAAGAACACAGCATCCCTTCTGAGATATTCCTGCCCAAAATATAATACTCTGGTTTGTGTCATGAGGAAGTATTGCGCACACACACAAGTTGAAGGATATTGTGCAAAATGACTGCCCTGTAAATCTTCAGAAAGGCAAACGGAACCTGAGGGAGTGTGGGCGACACCATAAGTGGATGCACCATGTGATCCTCTTGCAGTAAGAGTCTGAGGGGATATTTGGGGACACTGGAATGGGGTCTCTGGGTAAACAGTATATGGAAGGTTTTTATTCTGTTCTTGGGCATTGTAGGTATGTTTGAAATTTGAAATTGTTTGAAAATATAACAACAAAAAAGGAATGTGCGCCCATTCTGTGGCTTCTTTGAGAGTACTTTTAATGAGATATTGTTCTTAAACTGGACCATATAGGGCCTCAACTTCTATTTGCACCACCCCCTCCAAGTCAACATAATGGATAAAATTTTATCAATTTTATGTTTGCATATATGTATATATATATATATATATATATATATATATATATATACACACACACACACACACACACACACACACACACACACACAAATGTATACAGGTGGACACTTTTGTCAACGTTCCTCAAGCAGTAGTTCACCATAATCAGAAGTGTCTGGATGCTGATGGTAACCACTTTGAGCATCTCTTGTAATTACAGAAGTCAAACATGACTTGTATTCATCTTTTATTATCAGTATGTATTGAGTATTACAATTTTAATACAGTTTTCCTCTCTTAAAATGTATATACATTTTTTGGCACTCTCTGTATATTGAATTATTGACACCCAGCTCCTATTTACCAGCTACTGAATACTGAACTCTTGGAAAATGATGCAAAGACAAAGTAACAGGAAAATGAAGAAACAACTAAATCAAACTTAGTTTGACAGCTTTTAAGGAGAATCACGAATGTTTTGGGGGTTTTTTTGTTTGTTTTTGGCAGTAAAATTTTCCCTTGTGCATAATGAAATACTAAGATAATAGATAGTAAAGTGCACAATTAATAAATTACAATTATTATTAGTCCTGAGTGCTTTGTCTCTTGAATGTGTCTGAGAATTATAAATGTTCCTAGAACTCTTTTAAAACACACACATGGGTCTAATGAAAAGCCTTTATGATGAGCCTTAAGATGAGATGCAGC